AAAACGATGAGATATAACGATGAGATGGCCCTAAACTTCCTGTGCTGTGCACTGATATGGCTGTGCTTTGAAGCAGATGTTTGGATGCGAGTCAGGAGTCAGACCTACACTTAATGAGACACAGAGAACCAAAACGCATACAATTGGACATACATTTAAAATATGATATTAATTATGTGATGTTATGTTATCTCATGTTTAATACGAACCCAAAACACAGTCATATCAGAGCCAACACTCAGACCACTAATCGGTACGATATATATCTTCCGGCTATCGATTCAAAGCATTTCGTAAAATATCATTAAAATGTCATTTAATTGCACTGAAAATGCAGACCTGTTTCCGAGGGTCTAATGATTTTGACCACTTGTCCCCTCTTGAGTCCGTAATAACGGGCCACCGGATCACTGGCCTGTATCCGCATCAACTGGTTCTCCTTCAGCTTATATCGAGCCAACAGTTCCGCCTTCTCTTCGGGCGTCAGAACCACGTGTTCGGGAACTAACTGTTCGGTCAGTCAGTCACACATTAGTAATGCAGTCATTCGTGTCATACAAGACACCAGACCTCATGTTCGGTGATATTGATGAGTAGTTCCGACTCAAGAAATTGCTCCAAAATATATTTGGGGGCCATATCTGTGAGCGCCTGTTTGGCCGATGGGGTCATCCCTGTCTGCACCACTATTATGGCGCGACTTATGTTCTCCTCTTGCATTCGTTGGCAATAGTTCTTCACTGTCTTTATGCCAATCTTCGGCTCATCCGGAAAGAAGACAAACATCTGATCTGAGAGTTTACATCAATTTGTCAAACAATGGCACCAATTATTCACATCGTCGACGAGTGGATGCAAACAATACATAAAATAAGATAACAAGTGGTCAGACCTGTTGGGTCGTCATTGTGTGCCACGAGTACTATGAGATCACTTCTGGCCGGATGTCTCTCACTGTCAGATCCAACCATTCATACCATTAGTCAAACCATTCGTGTCTAATCAATCAATAGATGGTAACATACCTGGGCTTATCACCGTATGTCTCCTTGAATTGGTCCAGTGTCTGATCCAATTCCTCCTGAGTGACCAGATATCCCCTGTCGTGACACAACTGCCGGCAAAGCAAACAATTAGCGCCCAATGCATAGCAATCAACTGATCCAATGGATCCACACCTGCATAATAGTCTTGCGAATGCGCCATAACTTATAAGTGTCCGCCTCGTCGTCCATCGCTTCCCAAGACTAGCAGACAATACCTCAAGAGTCCAATAATGGCATGAATTGTCAACAAAATCACGTTTTCATCGATGGTTTGCCACACAATAGACGGCAACACATGTGATGCAGTCGTTCGCAAACAACGTGTCGTATAACTGAGGGTTTCATTAAATTTTATGCTTCATTTGAAAACTCATACAATAATTGCAATATTTTAATGTTTTGTTTTTTAGTCATTTATACAGAGTTTTTTCATTTATTTTATTAATATTTTTAATTAAAATCATTATAATTCATTGGTAATAAACGCCAACTTTTATTACACAGCGATATACAGTAACATAGCCTTCAGTAATCAATACATTGACTAATCACTTATAGTGTTACGCAATATATTGTCCCCCAAAGTAAAAGTTAGGCAGTTCGTGGACTAACAATTAGATCATTTGATTTGATTATCTTTTGCATCAAATTCCGAGTTAATTATATTTTTATTGAAAGCTTATTGAAAAAACAAATCCATAATATTTGGCATAGAGTTACGCAATCAATGTTTGTCTGTATTATCTGTTTGTCATCTCATGTTTGCTGGCAAACCATGAATTGTTTGAATAAATGTATCATACATTTGAGGATTAATTCGCATTGAAATGAGACCTCATTTTAATAGGCATTTATCGATGTATTAAATTGATTGAGTCAAATCAGGTTTCACTATCAATATTGTACTGCATTTGCAATGAGGGGTATGGAGGGTATGGGGTGTGGATTATATGCAGGCAATTGAGAAATTGTTCATTAATTCATTAATTCTTGTGGTTATTCATTCATGAAGTGACAATATTAGGGGAACTGATGGCTAGATTAACTGGGAATCGATTGTATAATTGATGGCAAATAGTAGTACTGTATTGGAGTTTAGGCAGAGTTAGCCGATGGATGCAATCATATTTGCGTACAAACTATGTCACACTTAGGAGGAAAGTTGTGTCGATTGGCTGCATATCTGCAATACAGGTGTCATGTCGTGATAGATAGTTATCTGTAGGGAGCGATTGGTTGTGCAAAGAAATCAAGTTTTACGCGATTTGATACAAAAAAATTTTTTCGGAATTTCCTTTACAAACAAACTTTTCTCCAAACTTATGCGAACGGTTAAGACAGTCTTCATTGTCATCGTATGACATCACTTGCAGTGAAACTCAGTTAAAACTTTCTTAAAACTTTCATTCCTCTAATGAGTTAACAGTTTTACAATTTGTTTGCATAACTTGCGATTCAAATGAATGATTAATTGAATTCATTTGGTTGTGTGATTGTATTGAATGAAAATTGAAATCGTTTCACGCATTCATGAATTGTTTCTCTCATTGGGAAGTCTATGTGATTAGCGCTGCCTTGAAGTGTGAGTTGTATAAGCGATAGAGGAAAACAAGTCATCAAATCATTAACTGGGAATCGATTGTATAATTGATGGCAAATAGTAGTACTGTATTGGAGTTTAGGCAGAGTTAGCCGATGGATGCAATCATATTTGCGTACAAACTATGTCACACTTAGGAGGAAAGTTGTGTGGATTGGCTGCATATCTGCAATACAGGTGTCATGTCGTGATAGATAGTTATCTGTAGGGAGCGATTGGTTGTGCAAACAAATCAAGTTTTACGCGATTTGATACAAAAAAATTATTTCGGAATTTCCTTTACAAACAAACTTTTCTCCAAACTTATGCTTACGGTTAAGACAGTCTTCATTGTCATCGTATGACATCACTTGCAGTGAAACTCAGTTAAAACTTTCATTCCTCTAATGAGTAAACAGTTTGACAATTTGTTTGCATAACTTGCGATTCAAATGAATGATTAATTGAATTCATTTGGTTGTGTAGATTATATTGAATGAAAATTGAAATCGTTTCACGCATTCATGAATTGTTTCTCTCATTGGGAAGTCTATGTGATTAGCGCTGCCTTGAAGTGTGAGTTGTATAAGCGATAGAGGAAAACAAGTCATCAAATCATTTATTCAACGTTTGAAGCAATTTTCAAATGAATTTTCTCTCTTTTCCATAAGTTTTTATAATTGTACTCATTTGGCAACTGTTTGCCAAAACACTTTCATAAATTTCCATTCACGAAACAATCAGGCGCTACACCATCACCACAGCACCTACACTACAGTAGTGGCACCAGTAGTCGCACCACTGGATCATTCGACTCAACCAACACAAGTAATGCTAAAACTGATCCCAATCCCTGATTTTATGATACCATAACAAAAACATAGCATTAGATTTAATTCTTAATAAATTTTAAGTATCAAATAAAATTTAATCCAAAACTGTGTGTGCATTGTATGACTGAATATGAAAATGCTTTTAACGTAATGTTAATTAATTCGTCAAATGTTTAGAAGAAATATGGGTTTCCTTTGAGGAAAGTTTGACTCAATAATCGTTTCATAACTTATAGTATAGGCAGAGGCGTCGCAACCATCAGATCTGCTCTTAAGATGAACAACGGATCCAAGAAATTGAAAATTAACGGCAATTGTGAGCCACTGATTGACAACATTCGCCGCGAGTATAGCGACTATAAGGGAGGGACTGTCGAGCTGACCACCGATGACACGACAGGCATCGCCAACATCTGCATCAATGCATTTGAGCGCAGGAATGCCCTCTCAGGCACTATGATGTCTCAGTTGGCAGATATCATCACTCAATTGGAACAATGGGAACAAGTATTGAACACTTTTCTCATACTCTTATGAATACAGTATTTGCATAAACCATGTCTAAAATGTGTGTTTAGGGAAAGGCTGTCATCATATACGGCGCCAATGGTTTCTTCTCATCGGGCGGTGATCTCAATACTGTCCGCAATATCGACAACTCGGAGGGCGGCCGAAGAATGGCTGTTCTCATGCACAACAACTTCACTCGACTCCAAGCCTTACCCCTATTGTCAGTGGCTTTAGTCGAGGGAAAGGCGTTGGGCGGCGGCGCTGAGTTGACCACTGCTTGTGATTTTCGAGTCATGACTCCGGACGCGGAGATCGGTTTTGTACACATCAAGCTGGGAGTGAGCACCGGGTGGGGCGGAGGCTGTCGCTTAGTACAAATATTAGGCCCGTGTAAGGCATTAGATGTGATGATGTCGGGGCGGCTCATCGGCGCCAATGAGGCTTTAAACTTAGGACTTGTGCAGCACGTGATCAGTGACACCTCGACTACCGACACTACCGACTCTAACACTGTGCTCAGCAAATGTCACGAATGGCTCAACCATTACACCCGACACAACGCCCAGACGTTACGCGCCATCAAAGGCATAGTAAACGCCGCGCGTTGGCTACCCCTCGAAGAAGCCCTCAACAAAGAAGTGGAATACTTCGCGTCCGTATGGGGCGGACCGGCTCATCAAAAAGCGTTAGCCAATAATATTAAGCATAAATGAGTCGATTGTTATGTTATTTAAAAGCATTTATCTGTTACTACATTCAGTTTTGCATGATTTATTCATATTTTATGGTTTATTAGAAAATACAGTACAGTATAATACAAATGTTATGACAATTAGTTAGTAATTCAATTTGGAAATGTCTTCGTATTTCACACCATCGATGACCCGTCCTTTGGATACTTCCGAATCGATCCGTACTTTCACACAAAACTTCTCGTAATTCACGTCCAAAAGGGTTGCCTCTAATCCGCGATACAGTCCTCGAAGTACTATCACTTTGCGACCGATTTGTGGGATAACTGTCTCCACGTGTTTTTGATCCAACTTTAAGACATCGTTGGACTCGAGTACTCGCAAAACAGCCGTATATTTGTCCTCAACCTTCTCTACCACTCCTTTCTTCTTGTAATACTTATCCCCTAAAGAGTCGGTTATTATTTTCACTACAATTCCCTTCAGTAGCCAATAGTCATGTTTGGCTGACTT